ATTCCAAATCCTCTAACAAAGCAGGCTCAAACCTCAGAGCCAAATCCTCCCCTTCCTCACCGTCCAAGTCTTCGTCCTCTAGCAAAGCAGGCTCAAACCTCAGAGCCAAATCCTCCTCTTCCTCATTGTCCAAGTCCTCGACCTCTGACAAAGCAGGCTCAAACCTCCGAGCCACAACATATGTGTATGCGCACAGTCTCACTCGTGTGAGCGTCACACGGGCACTCGCAGCCATTTGTGCAACTGTCACTGGAAGTGTTGTGGGCACTCATGCCCCCAGTCGCAAAAGTGGCGGGTATTTGTATAGATGCATAGGTACGTGCCTGCTCCTACCCCTCCCACAAAACTTTTCCCCCTGCCATCCACTCAGGGCCACCAACTCGGAAAGATTGGAGAACTCTGATGTAGCAATAGCACTTTAGTTTAGTTTCGTTTACTTCATTGTCATTGCACCTCGTACAACAAAATCAAACACCATCTTCAGTGCATATCATGACCATGACCATGAAAATAAACACAAACACACATGTTTCACCCTTCACACATTGAACCGGAAACCCTCGACACCATACCAACACTGCACTATACAGCAGAATTCAAAAGAGCTACTGCCCTGGGATAGAAGCTGTTTTTCAGCCTATTTGTCCTTGTTTTTATTATTCTGTACCGTCTGCCAGATGGTAATAGTTCAAAAAAAGGGGGTTCCCAGGATGAGATGCATCTTTGAGAATGTTTTGAACTTTCTTAAGGCAGCGGGAGCTATAAAGCTCTTCCAAAGAGGGGAGAGGGCAACCCATGATCCTCTGGGCAATGACGTTCACCCTCTGGAGTGCTGTCCTATCTGTCACTGTGCAATTGGCAGACCATACAGAGGTGCAGTAAGTTAAAATACTCTCTATGGTGCAGCAGTAGAAGTTTTTCATTCAGTTTTTCAGCAGTTTATCATTCAGTTGTTAGACTTATATACCGCTTTACAGTGCTTTTACAGCCCTCTCTAAGCAGTTTACAGAGTCAGCCTCTTGCCCCCAACAATCTGGGTCCTCATTTTACCCACCTTGGAAGGAGGGAAGGCTGAATCAACCTTGAGCCTGGTGAAATTTGTACTGCCAAATTGCAGGCAGCCGGCAGTCAGCAGAAGTAGCCTGCAGTACCACACTCTAACCACTGTGCCACCGTGGCTCATAGACAAGAGTCTTTCTCTACCTCACCTGAATCACCCTCCAGATGAGTCCATTTCAATTCCCAGAATCCTCCATCCAGCATATTCCCAGCTAAGAATTCTGGGCTTTGAAGTCCAAGCATTTGGAGGATACCAACCTGGCCAAAATGCTGAAATAAAGAAAACGAGTAAAACTGAGAATTACCAACACTTTTGTTTACTGACAAATAAGCTTTGGAGAGCTCCTATCCCTTCTCCACCCTTTCTAATCCAAATAGACAGTCCCCACTGGCTATAACACCCATCATGCTTCAAGCCCCCCCTCCCCCAAAAAGCCTTTTTGTGTTTAATAGGGTGATTACGTTAACCGTATTAAATACATTTGGATTTAATGGAATGAAAACAAGTATAACGTCTGCCCCAGCTCTCTCTGCCTTCTGAAGCAACTTAACTGTTTCCTCGGATATGCAAGTATGCGTGGCCCTTTGGTTTCGATGTCAGAAGTTTAAATTCTCCCACGTGTAGTATAAAAAGTGGTTTCACCCACCCACCCCCATTTCCCTGCTGTGTTGTAGAAGACAGCTGTTCCCTCTTCGTACTTGTTGGTCTTAAAAGTTTGCCTCCCTTTTTTGGTGGGTACGTTTAAAAAATATATATATATATGAAAGCTGCAATCTTTGGAAAGAACAATAAATCTTATCACTCTGTGTTTTCCAGACGCTGTGTAAGAGTACAAATCCACAGTGGAGGGAACAGTTTGATTTTCATTACTTCTCTGACAGGAAAGATGTATTGGAAATTGAGATCTGGGGAAAAGATAACAAAAAGCACGAAGAAATTTTGGGAATGTAAGTTGTCTTCTTTTATTGCCATTAAACGTGTTTTGCAAAGCTTTGGGAGACAATGTACAGTAAAATGTGGCTCTCTAGTTAAGTCTCTGGATTATCTCTCTCTGTTGTGGTTTTTCCATCAAGAACCTGAGAACTGAAGCTTCTCAAAATCTCACTCAAGCCTTGTGTAGGTCAACAACAGGACCGAGCTCACAGGGTTTCTAATTGTACAGAACCCTCTATTTTGGAAGAACTATCCAAGATAATTCTGTGAGATGTAGTGGTACAATCCAGCTGCAACTAAAGAGCTTCCCAGTTTGGGCAGAAACATGGTTGTCCTCTCCACAAGTCATCTCCAGCAACTGTCCTTTTGGTATTCTTCTGTGATTGAGAAAATATTGAACTTTCTGTCAAAATAGTCATTGATCCTCCGTGATCTTCTTCAGTCACTTAACACTGGTGTCTCCATGTGTGCTAGCGGAAGATCATCATCATAATCTTTTAACAACCCCATAATCCCTTGTGGGGTGGAGTCTGGGCAACTGAATGGAGCAGAGTGTTTACTGGCCGGATATCCTTCCTGTTGCCAATGTGGAGTTTTGTGCAGCAGATAATATTCTCAGTGTACCCAGAGAGAGAAATATTTGCCTCTCCCTAGGATTGAACTTGCAGCCTCCTGATTGTGAGGTGAGATCTCTACTTCTAGGCCACCACACCACTCTCTCCTAGCAGAAGATGTTAGAGGTTAATTCTGCATGGCCTGGAAAAAAAACAAAGATACTTCGAAGAGACTTCCGTTTTCTTGCATCGCAGCAGTTCTTTAGCAGAAGAGGTGGCATGCTGAGTTCCAAAATTGGGTTGGGATACCAGTGTTGATCAGCCCTACTGGCAAAACCAAGGGTTGGAGACAAAAGTACTTGTAGTCCAAACATTTGAAGCAATTCAGACCGATAAAGGTTAGACTGAATTAGAACTGGAAGTCAAGGGTCTTTCACATTCTCCATGAGTGGACACAGCAAATTGGTGGACAACTTCTCCAACCCTATACAGGGGGAGAAATTAAACGCAGGATTATTATTATTTTCATTCTATTTGGTAGTTGCTGCGAGAAGGATCCATGGGAGGTGTTCCCTGTGTAAAAATCTTTGAGGTTTAATGTAGGAAGCCAAGCAGGCTGCAAATTCCAGGAGAGAGAAGGACACCCTGAAAGGAAGGGTATTCACGCAAATCCTCCAACAACCCTGCCACAAAATATGCATGGGGCTATTGCAACCTGCTGCTAGAAGAATAATTTGACGGTTCCATGAACCGAGGTGGAACCGAAGAAGAAATCCAAAATGAAATGCAGACACGCTGTAGAGAAAGGAGATTCATTTTATTCCCAAGAACAAAGAGATTTCTTTTCGGGGTAGCTACGGAGGCTCAGTGGCCAAGACGCAGAGCTTGTCGATCAAAAAGGTCGGTAGTTTGGCAGTTAGAATCCCTAGCACTGCATAACGGAGTGAGCCCCCGTGACTTGTCCCAGCTTCTGCCAACCTAGCAGTTCAAAAGCACGTTAAAAAATGCAAGTAGAAAAATAGGGACCACTTTGGTGGGAAGGGAACAGCGTTCCCTGCGCCTTCAGCATTTAGTCCTGCCAGCCACATGACCACGGAGACGTCTTCGGACAGTGCTGGCTCTTTGGCTTTGTAATGGAGATGAGCACCGCCCCCTAGAGCTGGAAACGACTAGCAGGTGTGTGCGAGGGGAACCTTTACCTTTTCACAGAGAAAGTGGAGTCCAGAGGCTTGGTTTTATAAGAGGACTGGCCCTTAGTGTGAGCTCAGAGGTGTGGTTTGCATCTGTGTTGGTTTTAGCATGTGTCCTTCCAGTTCAGGTGTGCAGATTGGGATGCTTCTGCCCTGAGCTTTGATGCTGAGGTTCATGTGAAATCCAGAAAGGAAGATCACCCTCAGATATGTACATTCCACCTCTGGCATCTCCCTTTATCCTGGGGGTGGGAGGAGGGAATTCCTGCCTCTCCCTGGAACCAGTCAGGTGCTAAAAAGGAGGGGAGATAAGATCAAAGGCCTTTCATTTCTGTCACTGCCCATGAGAATTTTACTGAAACGTGAAGAGCCATGTCTCTTTCATTAAATAGAACAGGAAGTGATAACAAATGCAAACATTTCTGAGCCTGGGACTTTTCCTTTGCGCAGGCCCCATGAAGATGGCGGTGCCACAAACTTCTTAGCCCCCTCCGCTTCTTGGCAAGTGGCTACTCCCACCGTGAAGGGTTCCTCCCTTTGACTTCTCTACGATGTCTCCTGCGGGTTCCCGAACGGATTGCCTCTTTAAGCTTTACGAGATTCTGCTTCTTTCCACTCTCCCCAACTCCCCACCCACCAGTTCTATATGGCTGGCTTATTACCAGCAGAGGACTGGCAAAAGGCAATATGGTTGCAGCCATTCTGGTGTTAAATAGTTGCAAACAGTTAGAACAGAGGTGGGAGTCTCTCGCCATGGGGAAACCGTTTTGAAAGCATGACCATGGCGGGTTTATGTTGTGCTCTGGTCCTCGTTTGGAACAGCTGCTGCTGGCTTCCCTTGCCTTCTATTGCAAGACAGGGAAAGGATGGTTCTATTGCTTAGACAGGGAGAAATAATTACTGTGCAAACAATTAGACTCCCAAGTAATTAAACAGCTTGATTGTACATTAAACTCAAGATGCGTTTGGCTCTTAGCAAAGTCCTTCTCCCCTTGCCTCCTCCTCTTTCTGAATCAGTTCAATTCAATTAGTCCGCGGTTTTAAATATGACCATGTCTTGATATGTTTTCCATGGATCCGTGCCCTGGAATTGTTTGGCTACCAATGTGGACTGTAGTTACAGTTCCTTAGCTAAGCGGTACAATCAAGCAAATAAGAATATAAATAGAATAGAATTCTTTATTGGCCAAGTCACACCAGAAATAAAAATTAAATATTGAAACTGACAGCCTCTGTTGTAGGTCTTTCACCACTCCTAACCGTTTCTAACCTAATCTCCTTCTCACATCAGAAGACCTTCGTCCTAGTGAGGTTTAATGCCTTACCCTGCACTGGTATGACCACACTTGAAATACTGTGTCCAGTTTGGTCACCATGATCCCAAAAAGTTGCTGAGACCCTACAAAGAGTGCAGAGAAGAGCAACAGTGATGATTAGGAGAATGGAGGCTAAAACATATCATGAAAGATTGTAGAAACTGGATAGTCTAATGAAGAGAAGGACTAGTGGTGACGTGATGGCAGTGTTCCAAAATTTGAAGGGCTGTCACAAAGAAGAGGGAGTCAAGCTATTTTCCAAAGCACCAGAGGGCAGGGCAAGAAGTAAAATATGAAAACTAATCAAGGAGAAATGCAACCTAGAAATAAGGAGAAATTTCCTGTCAGTGAGAGCACTTAATCAGTGGAACAATTTGCCTCCAAAAGTTGTGGGTGTTCCATCACTGGAGCTTTTTTAAGAAGAGACTGGATAGCCCTTTGTCCAGAATGATACAGGGTTGGACTAGAAGACCTCCAAGGTCCCTTCCAACTGTGTTATTCTATCATTAAAATTGGATAGAAAGTTCCATAACATAGGAACTTTGGAGCTGATCTTTATCTGTTCAGATGAAATTGTCAAGATGATTTTCTGAGGAGCTTAAGATTCCCTGGAAGATAACAGCCTTATGACAAAACAAGAATAATCATCTTATTACATTTGATCTTATTATAAATGATAAGAACAAGCTCCAACTGAACAGGCATTTATAAAGTGCGTATACTTTTTACCTCTCCCCATCCTTCCGGCTTGTTTCACTATCCTTGTGCGCTGCGGTGCAATGTTCAAGTGTCACAACCAAGGAGCCACTTTCATATCCACCCAGAAGAATCTCATAATATCAGTTCCTCATGCACACTTTGGTTCTTTCATTCCTTCTTCATCATGCTCCCTTCAAAGTATGAGTCTGTAGAGGTTCTCAGTCATCCAGGTCATGGTTGTCCTAAAGGTGCTTGTTCAGGAGGCAACTGGACTTTCTTGTTGTTTCTTTTGAAGATGTTTCGCTTCTCACCCGAGAAGCGTCTTCAGGAATAGATGGATGAGAAGCGAAACATCTTCAAAAGAAAAAGAAAAAGAAAAGAAAATCCAATTGCCTCCTGAAAAAGCACCTTTGGTTCAAATTATCAGCTATGTAAGGAGCAACATTTCACCAATATGAGTCAGTACAGTTCGAATATACTTTGTGTGTCTCTAACAG